TATGTAAATCTCAAATTTTATTATTTTCTTTTTGCTTTTTAATTCTCGATGCTTTCATTGTTTCATATTTATCGATCGATTGTGTTTGTATTGCGTGGGAATTATTTGTAAATTATTCGAATTTCCTATTGTTCTTTCATTTATCATCTAACTCGAGATCATAAATCTCGATTTTGTTACAATTTACGAATGATTATTGAGAAACGTGCTTCGTTTCATTCGAGAATTCTGACTTTCGCGCGATTTAAGAGAAAAACAATATTCTCAAACTCATTGTACACGCGTATTTATTTATTTTAACAATATTTATTTTAACAATTTAACGTTTTAATATTCATTGATAATTAATTTTTATATTAATTTTTCATTTATATATAAAAAATAAATTCGTAAAACAAAATAAAAGGTAATTGAAATTACGAGAAAAGAAAAAACAAATTACAGGAAGATGAGATAAAAAAGGATCTCATATAATCATAATAAAATTAATAAAAACAATATAGCGAATAATATAAATGAAAAATCTTTGATTATTTTACCTATCGAAGAAAAAAAAAATATATATATCTTATAATTAATATACAATAAAATTTTAGCCAATTGGGGTGATAGAACAAAGAAAATATTTTACATTTATTTATTAATTATTAATGTGTACGTGTTTTATTTTATATATTTTATGTTTAATATTAAACCTAGCTATACTTCTTTCGTATATATTTATTTCTACAATTTTAAACAAAAATATTTATTTTAATGTGCAAAATATGAAATGTTTTACCAATTGTGTGTGTGTTTGTATGAACAAAATATAATAATAACATATATATTTTACACATTTTCGTACAAGTTACAGAACACGCGTGATAGAGGTGTAAATAAATTATTCCTCCTTATAAAAAAAAGAAAACCATATAAAATAAATAAAAATAAAAAACAAACAGCGTAGATGGAGGGGGTGGTGTGTTATAAAAAATTAGAAACAAAGTAAAAAACAAAAGATAAATCAAATCATTATCCACCCACATTATTTCTTCTAGTTACACGAAACAGTTAGTACGAAATATTGTTTAAAATTGTCTATAGAACCAAAAACAAAAACAAAAAAACAACAAGAGTCCAGTCGCATTCCAAAGAAAACTTGATTTTCTCTTGGAAGTTGCGTTTAAGAGTTAGGTTCTTGGCTCGCTGAAAAGATTAGATTTGCTATGGGGGGAAAGAGGAAAAGGGGTAGGAGAAGGGTAGGAGAAGGGAGTTGGTAAGGGGGTGGAGGGGACAAACGAAGGAATACGACTCTCCTTGAACGCAAAAACGAAGTCCGTGCACTACAGGTATAATACACCCTTTCACCGGGCGCGAACAAACCAAACCAAACGAAACCATACGAAACGACATACTAGACACTTCGTCTATGGTTTAACCATAGTTTCCAGACTCTATTCTATCTC